AAAGTTTTAATGGATTACACTAAAGAAGGTAAGTTTCTTGTTCATAACACCTTTCTACCCTGGTTCTCCTGGGATGGGAACAAAGGAGAAGCACTATGTAGGTACCTGCTGGGTGTTATCAGAGATGGACAGAGGGGATGCCAGTCTCAGTGCTTCCAGACTCTTGTGTCAGAGGTAACAGCTTCACTCCCTCCACATTTCATTGATCACAGCACATCATAGGCTGCAGCCAACATCCGGGTTCTGCAGCAGAACCTGACAAACTTGATGGGCCAAGTAGGTCGACCACATGGTGCCAGCCTCTTTGGGGGACTGTGAAGGGCCAAGGAGCGGAGTGGGGATTGGTAGGAAATGACAGTGGAAGTGTGTCAGGATGGGTACCTGTCTCCTCATCCAGGTAGACATTGTCTCTGAGCTTCCCTAAACTGTCAGTGGCAAGATTCAAAGGAGTGGACCTCAGAAAAAGGAGTTTGTTCAGATGTCATTGGCAGCAAACTCAGAACTGCAAGCTACTGAAATATCTTATCATGTCAGTGTTCAATGCCACGGTTTGGGCAGTTTAAAATTGACCATGATGAGAGTATTTACACCAGGGAAATTGACAAATGCTACAACCCTAGACTTCACTTAATGTATTATTGAATGCTCTGACTTAAATAAGAGTGGTTCTGAATGTTAACAATGCACATTAAATGTACAAGTATATGGTATAAGCTACCTTAATTTGTACATTGCATAATAATTGAGAAAAACAAATTTCCTTCCAGTATTCCAAACCTATGGTTCCATATGGCAAAGGAGTCACTTGAGTCTCTGAGGAATGAAGGAACTTTAAGCATCTGTCTTAGAGGCTGCACAGGCCTCCTTCAGTTAAAGTAATACATTTATTTAAACAATTTGAAAAAGATCCTGAGCTGATATTTTAATAAAGCAGACAAAGATAGTGCAAATAAATGTATGAAAAAAATGTTAACCATAAAAAATTCTTAGGTAAATTAAATTAAAATGAAAGTGAGTTAACACAATATTCATTTCTGGAGTTACTACTTGAAAAGGTTAACCATTGTATGCCCTTGCATGGTAGGAGAAAAACTGGAATTCTTATATACTATGGGTTAATGGGAATACAAAGGGAATGACTATTTTGGATCACAGTTCCCCATATCTTTTTTAAAAATATATATCTTATTGATTTTTTACAGGGGGGAAGGGAGAGGGTCAGAGAGTCAGAAACATCGATGAGAGAGAAACACCGATTAGCTGCCTCCTGCAGACTGCCTACTGGGGATGTGCCCACAACCAAGGTACATGCCCTTGACCAGAATCGAATGCGGGACCCTTCAGTCCCCAGGCCAATGCTCTATCCACTCAGACAAACCAATCAGGGCCCTATATCTTAAATTTAAACATTCATCTACAATACAGTTTGATAAGTAAAACCTATGTCTATATACACAACTTATTGCAAATATTCCCAGAAGATTTAATTATAATACCCCAAACCTGGAAATAACAAAAAACATAGAGATCAATAGATAATGTGGTTAGTCACAGAACCCAGTACTACTCAGCAATAAAAAGAATAATTCACCCTTAACATAAGCATGTGTGTTGAATCTGAAATGTGTAGCATGGAGAAAACCAGTGTTTGTTAAAGAGTACACATCAAATAATGCCTATAAAATTATGAGCAGTATGAACTATTCTATTGTAAAGAAAAGAAAATCCATGAGTGCATGGAGGGCCGAGAAAGGTAGAGAGAGAGAGAGCAATTGTAACAAGGCAGTAGGGAAATACAGGATGTGGCAAAAGAAGGTTTAGAGTTGCTGGTATGGAAAATGATATAATTAATAGTAATAATACAGGAATAAACTCTGCCCCATCCAGTGTCCTCAGCTGGTTGGGTGTCATCCCATTCACTGAAAGGTCTCTGGTTTGATTCCAGGTCAGTGCACATCCGCAAATGGATCCCCAGTTGGAGGCCTACAAGAGGCAGCAGATCTATGTTTATCTCTCTTCCCCTGTCTACTTCTCCCCCCGTGCAAAAAAAGAATAAAAGTATTTTCTAAAATATTATTTAAGAAGTATAATCTCTTGGAAGAAAACCTGATGACCCACACTCATTTTGCTTTTGTTGAGTCAACTCAATCTTAACACTATTCATTTTTTAAATGTATTTATTGATTTTTTAGAGAGAAAGAGAGAGGAAAAAACATCAATGATGAGAATCATTGACCAGATGCCTCCAGCAGTCCCTCTACTGGGATGGAACCCCCAATCTGGGCATGTGTGTTGACCTGGAATCAAACCAGCGATATCTTGGTTCATGGGTCTACACCCAAACACTGAGCCACACCTACTGTGCACACTAATCTTTTTTATTGTTCACTCTATTACAGATGTTCCCAATTTCTGCCATACCCCTCCCCCCTTTTCTCCCTCTACCCTGTCCCCACTGCTTCTTGGCCCGCACCACATTATTGTATATGTCCATGGGCTGTGCATATATGTATATACTTTTAAAATATTTTTTATTGATTTTAGAGAGTGGAAGGGAAAGGGAGAGATGAAAACATCAATGATAAGAGAAAATCACTGATTAGTTGCCTCCTGCACGACTCTACCCCCACAATGGGAATTAAGCCTGCAACACATGTATGTGCCCTGACCAGGAAAAAACCAGTATCACATGACCTCATCATTCGTGGAATATAATGAACAGCATAAATTGATGAACAAAAATAGATTCAGAGACACAGAAGCCTCGAAGGGACCAACAAACTTCAGAGGGAAGGCAGGGAGTTGGAGGGGTCGGTTAGAGATCAACCAAAGGACTTGTGTGCATGCATATAAGAGGCATCAACGTACACAGACTCTAGGGAGGTGAGGGCATGTGCTGGGGAGTGGGGGTGGCCAGGGAGAAGCCAATGGAGAACAATGGAGACAAATGTAGTAACATATGTAATATTTCAAACAATAAAGAATTTTTTTAAAAATCTTATCTAATAAAAGAGAAACATGCAAATTGACCGTACCTCCGCTACACTCAGGAGCTACACCAATCAGGAGTGAGTATGCAAATAAACCCAACCAAGATGGTGGTGTCCATAGAGCTGGAGCGAACAGGAGGCTTGGGTTGCCGCTGGCAATGGAGGAAGCCAAGCTTCTCGCCTGCCCTGGATGGCTGTGGGCTCTCCTCAAGGCTACAAAGTTTCAATTATAGAAGATAAATAAATCCCAGATACCTGCTTCCAGCCGCTGTGACCTCCACTCAAGGAAGGTCTCGGAGCCTGGGTTGCCCGGGGCCATGGCCAGCCTGCAAACAGCCATCATTCCTTCACTCAAGCTTGGCAGGCATCCCAGTGGGGACCCCCACCCTAAAGGGGGTGTGGCCACCCTGAAAACAGTCATCAGCCCCTCACCAATGCTGGCCAGGCACCCCAGTGGGAACCCCCATCCTGAAGGGGGTGTAGCCAGTCTGAAAAGAGCTCTCATCCCCTCACCCAGGCTGGCCAGGCACCCCAGTGGTCCCCCCCCCCCCGAAGGGGGTATGGCCAGCCTGAAAACAGCCATCATCCCCTCACCCAGGCTGGCTACACCCTCTTGGGGTAAGGGTCCCCGCTGAGGTGCTTGTCCAGCCTGCAAATAGCCATCAGCCCCTCACCCAGGCTGGCCACGCCCCCCCAGCAGGGACCCTCACCCTGTGGGGGCGTGGCCGGGCTGCAAACCACCACAGGGCCATCGCCCAGGCCGCCCCACGCCCCAAGGGAAGCCCCACCCTGATCCAGGACACCATTCAGGGCAAACAGCAGGACTGCACCCATGCACAAGGCTCTATCTATACTAATAAAGGGTAAAATGCTAATTAGACTGGGAGACTTCAAGAGACCTTCTGATGTTCTTCTGGACAAAGACATGGTGCAGGGCCAAGGTAGAGGT